CTTTGTATTTTTTTTATTAACGAAGATTGAAGAGGTGCAAATTTCTTTTGTATAATCTAAAGCAATAACATACTTACGCATGTTAGTTTCTCTCAGTTATATAGATAATTAAATTATATTTACAGATGGAAACTACGAAAAGTTCGTTTGGTATGGGAACAAAATAGAAACAAAAAACATTAAATAGAAAACTGAGTAGAAAAAATAGGGTATAAATTTTGAAAATGCCAAATATAGCATTTTGAAATTTCTCTTATTTTATATTTTAATAATGACATCAGAAAAAATATGATACGATAGAATACCCTTTATGACACACGTACGACCACTTCGTTTAAAACTAATTTTGATCTCATTTCGATACCAAAATCCTACCTCTAAACTGTTGACAATAACAAGCAGACATTTGTACTCAATGTGTAATGTTACATAAAAATATAACACATACTTATTTGGGCTTTAACTAAGACAAAACGCGCAATTAAACCCGAAACTGCAATTAGTTGTACATCATGGGGCGAGTGGTCCGGGACAGGCTCGTCCCGCAATCAATCAAGTGTCCCACCGAGCCGCGCCGCCGCGCCGGGCCAGCGGGACGGGGCCTGCTGCTGCCACCTTCATAATGTATGCCTTCACACACCGCCCAACGCAATATGAATGAACATGTTAAAATATATCAGTAGGTAGGTATGGAGGAAATTTGCTAGCATAATTTTTGTCTTATTAATGTAAGTGGTATCGACCCTTCATTTATAAGCTACACTAACAGAATCCCGTAGCCCTGTCAGTATGAAAAAGGACGAAAAGTATTAGATACTGTATTTCGGTGTTAATGATGTGATTAAAGATCTGATACCGCGATGGTCTAATATTTTAATCTCGGCCAGCCTAACCTAATCTAACCTAGCCATTATACGAGAATAACTTTAGTGTAGTTGCGATCACATTTGCGATTCCATAATCCTGTAAAAACCGATATATTTGCTGTATGTATACTCAAGATAATCCTATATTTCTTTGTTTCGTAGGTCTTTTACCGTCATAGTTAATTGAATTCATATACAAAAACTTAGTGTCGACTAAATTACATACTAATGACCATTTTGAGATCTTTTTTTTTATTTTACACACAAATATTCTTATCCATACTAATATTAGAAAATGTGTCTGACTTTCGGTTTGGTATCTTTTCACGGCTAAACGGCTGGACGGACTTTAATGAAATTTAATATGAAGATGAAGACTGACAATCGTCACGAGAACAAACATAAAAGGCTAAAACTACCCTTTATCTAAAAAAGCAGGCGAAGGCGTAGGTAGTAACAATATAAAACAAGGTTGCGCTCTTGCGTAAATTAGAACCATTTCACTCCGGATGTTATTTCCAAAACATAGAATACAAAGCATAATTCATACAAAATATTACTTCCCTCTTACAAACGCGCCTTAATTAAACAGAGGTAGGTACTCGTATCTAAACATTTAATAGCATTACGGATCAGTACACGCATGATTGCGTCACAATTCGCTGAATCCGGCTCTCGGCGTTGCTCCAAAAGATACGGGGCTTATATTAAAACAATATTAATTATCAATCGACGGTTGGGCGACTCCTTTGTCGATTGTAGCGCGAGTTTCATGAAGTTTCGCGTACACGAGCGACTAATCTGTTCGCATTAGTCGCTCAACAGTTTCCTCATCCTGGTCTTTAGATAAGAATTTAGTCTACCATTATCTTTTATTCTATTAGTTTAGGATTATTTCGTCTGACGAATTGAATTGAAATGTAAAATAAAACAAATATTTGTTCTTGGACTGGCTATTAATGACAATTTTATTTTTCCTAGTCGTAGTTTACGGCATGCTGAGTATTAAAAGATGATGTGATATAATGTATTGTTGTAGTGTTATCACAAAATAGAAAATTTCACAAAATATATTGTACAAAATTTACAAATCTACAGCACAAAGTGAAAATCAGACTAAAATAAATAAGTATAAGTTACATTTATTCTAATAAAATCTGAAGTAGTTGTATGAAGTTTGAGATATATTTTATAACTTATAAATAATACAATGTGATGTTTTTCAGTTTTTGTTTCAACTGAACATGTATATCATAATTTGATTGTTTCAGATGTGATTACGTTGCAAAGAGTTCTGATATTTCTAGTACAGTCACTAGTCAATATAAATTGTATAGGACTATTACAGTTTCGAGAGCAATCATATTTTCTGTTTTGTTAGTATATTAAGCCAAAAACCAAGTAGGTTACTGATAAAACTGAACTATTTTCATTAAGAAATAAAGTAGAAAATAGAAAATATTTTTCATATCAATATGATTACGTTCAGATCACTGAGCAGTTTATATGAAGGATTTTTCTTTGCTTTTTCGGGTAAGTAGATCAGTTTCAGCGTTACTACAGATTTTCGACTTCATTACTGACTAAGTAGGTATATATAATTAGGAATTGGAATTAATAGAAATATATAAATCTATATTGTATAATACAAATTCTTTTATTTTATACATTAATTGTTTTACTAATATAAATTGTCACAATGCCAGGTGACTGTTGCCGAACCTATCTTTTCAAATTGCTCGTTTAGTGAACCTTTGGCGTTTTGTTTAAATTATAAATTAGATTTCTATAATCGCATCAACAAAGAATTCCTCGCGATTATTAAACATTTTTATGCCCCTTGAGTGCACTCGTTCGTTATTAAATATAAGTTTGTTGAACTGCTAAAAGACTGGGGAACAATAAATATTTCATTTATGTCTAATAATTTTTAGTGTCATTTTAGCTACTCTTACAGTAGATCCTTAGATAATATTGTATACAATAGCTAAGTACAATAAACAATATCTAAGTGCTGTAGAAGTATTTTTGTAGACTCCTTTGTTTTATGAATATACTAGATATTTAATCTGTACTAATATATCAAAGTGGTTTTTTATTTTATGCTGTTTCTTATTTGTTTAGAATTGGTAAAAATAATTGTATTATTTGTTAAATTCTTTTAAAGATAAGTTATTAGGATGTCAGTTTTTAATACTATACAGAGAATATATGAACGATTAACAATATAAGAAAATAATAATATTGTTTACCATTCAATTTCAATGGGAATAAATGATTGATGATTTTAAAAGAAAAAATATTTCAACTTTTTGTATATCTAAAGAAACGTGTAATCAAAATGTTAAGTTACAGAACAGGACATTTGTCGTACAGAAATCAATTTATTTCCCCTCCAATTGTCAGGCAAGTGGGCGGTGCTGATTCAGTTTGTTAATGAATTCAAATTATTTCAAATTTATTCGTTGATCGGCTGCGTCTCGCTGCTAACGCATTTAAAAAGTGATTAGAAGTTAAATTGACACAATATGAACTTTTTGTGCACAACACGAGAGTAATCAAAAACGAGATTATTCAATTTTCATTGAAATTTGCTCAGCGCCACCCCTAATGGTTTAAGTTGCTGGCGACCTATTTATGAATTTATCACAAGTTATACGAAAAATATTGCATCTTTTTTTCGAATTCATTATAGATAATAGAAAAGGTACTAAGGGACGTAAAGGTATATATAGGAAAGAAAGTTAAGGTACATATATACATATAAATTTTGTAATAGGTATAGTAAACAAGCTGACATATCTATAAAAACTGATGTCTATATAGCTTACAATAGGTACATCAACAGCCCCACGGAAATTAAATAATCATGTGTGATACTCGAGGTACCTATCATGCGTCTTTCTGCAGAATTAAGGTGTCATGCCTCCGTACCCAGTGATTTCACTGACATATTATTATCTCAGCCTTCCACAGAAGTACAGCTAACGATAAGCTATGTAGAAATGAACATAATGATACAAAGGTACCCATGTAAACAACTTTTGTATAATGTATACTTAATATGTTTGGCACAAAAAAATATAGCCGTGTGTTAGGTTTACCTGCACTAGCCGACCCGCGACTGTTTGCATCACACCTACTTGACATTTATCGTTATATTTTCGCCCAATTGCATATTATATTTTTAAAGTATAGTCTATGTTTTGTTCTGATACAGTAAAGTTTCATCAAAATCCGTTTAGTAGTTTTCGCGTGAAAAAGTAATAAATATCCATCCATTCATACTCACAAACATTCGCGTTTATAATATTACATTTATATATACATATTACGCCGACCCCAAATAAATGTGATAAGAAAGAAGCAGATGGTGATGATGATGATATCTTCGCTCACAGAAAAATAATTCAAGTCTATAAATTTATTTATTTTCACAAATTACATTAACAATGAAATTGAAGTGTATTTTGTTAGAACATCAAAATACTAGACAGTGTTTTCCCTGACTGCACTTATAATTGAAATTTATACTGGTAAGTCCGACTGCATCAGACAATGAGACAACTAAAAACAATATACTTATACCAAGAGATGCAAGATTAAATTTACATTGTTACTTTTATGGCATTTCCTACCGTCTGTTATGGTAAGGTATTCATGAGAGCGAATGTTTAGTCCCAGAGGGCGCTTAGAGTGTATAGGACGGTAGAAACGCGGAATCACCCACGCTTGCAACTTATGATAATTACATTTAGAATAACGCCTAAAGCTAAAGTACATAATACAAGTCGAGATAGCTTACATTGAATATTAGAAGACATTTTATTTACATATACATTAACACTAGCTGTGCCTGCGGATTTGTTTGTTATTTTGACAGTATCGGTGGTCTAGTGCTAAAGCTCACCGCTTTACTGGTCACGAGTTTGATTCCTCGTACGGCACAAACTATATATGTAATCAAAACGAGTATGATTGTTTGTATCAGTCTGGATGTTTTCTATGTAAATTATGTATATATCTAAAAAAAAAATATCTTAGTATTTCTATCAGTTGTTTGTTATTATTATTTTTATGTGACAATAGTAATTGAAAAAAGTAATGGTCGCAAACTGTTACACTGTGATAATTTGTTATTACAATATTTATGTACCTAACTTTGAATTAAATAAAAAAACGGACATAATTACGCACTTAGTACAATTAAATATTTAACAATGTTCCATTCTTATAATTTATTTTATAACGAGTAATTGTTTGAAATTATAAATAAATTACTTATATTTTCGTCTTGGAGGTTCGAAACTAGCATAGAGTGCTTTCATCAATATATCACATTCTTTTAAAGATCGTTGCGCTTTATGAGCTCTTGTCATATTTTTTAAATCCTTCGAAAAGAACTCGTCGGTAGCTTGTTTGACTACATCCTGATTCAAATTATCCAATCCGGAGGTTAGTTCAATGTAAAGTAGTTCCATATTGAGCATCAAAGTTGCAATATTATCTTTAGGATCTTCAGAGGTATTAAAGATCCTTCTGTGAGTATATTGGAGGCATGTAAACAGCTTAATGGTATCATATGAAGAGAAAAGGTTTTGAAATTCATTCATAAGTATTTTCTCAAAAACTGTTTTATAATGAACTTCCTTTTCTTTAGTGAATTTAACAAGATCACTATAAATATAAATGTATTCTTGTAATTCGTTCAATTCAGCATGGAGTCGCGCTTGCAAAATATCTTTATTATTCAAAATTATTTTTAAAATCTTTTTAGTAAAAATTTCTATGTTTAAATAATTTAAGCATTGGTTACATAGGTTTTCAAAAATTGACATTAACTCGTCGGGTTTTTTGAAGTATAGCTGTAATTGCACATCTTTAAACATTTTTAAGCTAACTTTACTATCAACTAGTGATATTTCAGAACTCGAAAAAATATTACTCGCCGTATATGAGAAAAGATCTCTCCCCATAAATTTTGGTCCGTACTGTGCTTGCCACCACAGTGGAGTTAATGAATTCAGGAATTGACGGTATCTTGATAAAGTGTCAAAATTAGCACATATATCAGATAATTTATTCCTCAACGTAACATATTTGGAACTAAGGGCTTCTAGCTCTTCTGTGACCTTTTCAATTTCGAGTGCTTTCACTTCAGCTTCCATTTGCAAATTTTTAGCACTGCAGTAACTATCTTTTGCACACTGAATAAAATTATCTTTGCATTTCTTAAATAGTGTATTAATTTCATTGTACTCAGTTAATTCAAAAGTATAAAATGAATCTAATTGTATTACTTGGTCTTCTAAATACGCAGCGTTAGCTTTAAAGAGTGTTATATCTCTGATGTCTCCCATGTATACTTTTACGTCAACAAACTGTCTAATAGATCTACCTTCAATTATATTGTAGAAATTATTATCAATGTCGCATATCGCACGTGTTTCTGACATAATGAATGGCTCTGGTTTGATCTTTCTTAATAATCTTTTATGACTAAATAGTCGAGAGTGTGGTGGCAAATCAAATGGATTATCTGTTCCATGTTCCGCCACATTTTTCTCTTGCAATTTAAATTTATTATTTCTTTTGTGAAATTCTTGTGGAATGTAGTTTTCTTCATTGGAATTGATATTCCTTTCATTAAATGGTATTTTCATAAGATGACTTTTCGTTACGCGCTTTTGAAATATCTCTTTAGGAGTTTGCATTATTCTAAAATAAAGAAAATAATAGTTTTTAGCAATATACTTAATCATACTATTAATATACGTACATGTTATTATTGTAAGTTACAGAGATGTTGTTGTATTATAAGAAACTCAGGCCAAATTCTAGAGCAATAAATAAAGTGAATTTTATCTCATATTCAAGTAAATGACGCATCAAACTAGTTCTTTAATTACATTAGGCATGATACAGATATTTCGTAATGATTTCGAAAAGGTTTTATTTAGCGAGTGTAATGAAAAAACATTCAAATTAAAACAACTTACTTTCTTATGGAACTGAAAAATAATTCACACCAGTATAACCGTCAGTCTTCGATTTATAATAATAATTAATGTATTTTAAAATATTCGGGAAATATTTAGATTTTATGTCACACTACTCTGTCATTAAGATTTTTTTCTATACTTTTCAAAAAGACCGAATAGTTTTATTATAATTGAATAATACAGTATTTGACTTTTAGGTTTTAAGTTTAATGCATTTCTATTTTCCTGTTGAACAAGTTCGCACTAAAAAAACATTAACGCATGTAATTATATTTATAATATAATTATATGCGTTAATGTTTTTTTATTATATTATATTATAAATTAGCCACGAACGAAGACGTGTGAAGGTGGACAAATATGTCTGCCCATAAAAGATTTTATTTACCATCTATCCGCACAGTAAACTGAAGAAGCATTTCAGTTTACCCGTGAATATGGCGGTTGAAACAATGCCGAAATATCGGGATGTCAATAAAAAATAAAACGTCTTATGTGTACATACTTATACTCAGTAACTCATTATCTAATGTAACATTATATAAACGAGAGATTCACCACGACAAAAATATTTATGAGTATATGACTGACATGATTAAAATTGTTATTTGTAAACATTCTCTTTATACAAGTGTACAAAAATATCACGGTAAATATCTATTTTAGTATCTTAATTTATTTATTTACATAACTTAATTGTACTAAGAACCTAAAATTAAAAACCTTAAAAAATATAATGCAATAACTATTTTAGTTATTGCATTATATTTTTTAAGGAGTCCCTTAGGCAAGGTTCCGAAGATACTGGCAGCGTTCCCTCTTTGAATTGCTAGACTAATTCTTTGTCCGAAGTAGCTGCCAGCTCTTTGGTCTTCTGTGATGTCGACTAACCTTATAAATATCTAATTTATACAATGTGTACAATTGTAAACAACTGTAGGCGACACCTAATATCCAAAAAAGATAAAATATGCATTTTTTTCATGCAGCAAATAACTTTAAAAAAGGTTTATAACTTATTTTTTTGAACATTTTTATTGATATAAAATTTGTATTCAACTTGTTTGTGCATATGTGTGTATGTGGAAATGTGCATTCAATATTAGAACATTTAATATATTGTATTAAAGTATGATATTTACTGTTATTCAAATAATTTTAGAATTTAAACACTTGACCACGTCATGTACAGTGCAGGGCCCTGAGGGACTTGTAAGGCCGTCATTCAATTTAACGCCCCAGCACGAAGTGACCGCGGCCGTGCCCCCAGCCCGGACTGGTCCGGCCCCCAGTCAGAGACGGTCATCGCTAAGGAAGCCTTGTTTTTGACATCTTGACCTTTAGTGCAATTCACAGGAGATATACGTTTTTTAGTTTCGGTATCTTATGAATAAATTATAATTTAACTACACAATTATTTGTATATTCTATAATTATTTAACTGTTTCCTGGATAGTGAGTCGATAAATATTTTAAAGTATAGTTAAAAATAACATACCTTCAAGGATGTATTCATTTTGTACAATTGTATGTGCTACAAATGAATGAATGAAAATGAATACGTGTATATTATTATTATGTGTATATTATTATATATGTAATTATGTCTATATTTATTTTGTTACAAGTTCATTGCCAGTTGCAATATAGAACATACACTATTATCAGGATACATTTGACTTGGTTTTCCCTCCCTGTCTATATATAATGTTATGAGGAAATTAAACACTGCTTTAATTTGAGAAATTCTTTCATCGTTCAAAATGGATTTTATTCTAGTGGCAGAACTATATATAATGATTATATATAGGAAGTTATAATCATCTAAGCAAAGACGGGGTCTCTAATATTTTTATAAAATATTAAATAAGACATCAACTATAATTTACTATACGCTACTGCTTCTCTTATAGACTAAAAGACGAAAACACCAACTGACCCTTAGAAACCACATAGAAACTATTCCGATGAGGGATGACATTGATGCTGTTAATTAAATCTCCTTTCTTGACAATAATATGCGAAACTAATAGTCCATACTTCAAATAAATGATTGAACTTAATTAAATTGTTTTCACTAATAACTTGCATACCGTAATGTTATCATGAACATTGACAACTTATATACTATTAGATGTATGAAACATATTTACCTTCATTCCATATTATTAGAGGGTCGACAGGGTTTTTTAATATTCTCGATAAGCTTTGGAGTCTATACATTTTAAGTTTAAACTAATACCTACAGTTGAATTTCTATTCTTGTAAGAATAAATTGTTCTTTATTTTTAACATTTTAATTTATTTAAAAACTAATTGATAATAATTCCAAGAACATATAGAAGAAAAAAGATGTATAAAATTTGTTCCTTCCTTCCAGTTATTATGACTGAAAAGTTTGCAACTAGCCAGTCTGCAAACGGCGGGCAACTTCGTATAATAAATTCTCCGCAGAGCTTTTCTCTACCTAATAAAAACTTCCAGCTAGAAAACAACACGGTCTAATTGACTGCGGCTTAAAAAAACCGTGGTTTTTATACATTATAGACACTCATTATCATTAAGTATAACTACTACTTAAAGTGTTATTGTTTTCTGGGGTAGGTATTAAACAAACACCCATACTTACTAATATTATAAATACGTACATTTGACTCTACGTTTATTACCCTTGACTGAATAACTGAACGGATCATAATGAATTTCACGTGATGGTAGATGGTAGTATAAGGACTGATATAGACTATCTTTTATTAAAAAAAAGGCAGGCGGAGTCGCAGGTAACGACTAGTCTATTGCAGACATCTTTAAGTAAGTATAACTACTCCTTAAGCTAACATTACAATTTTGGTTATTTAACATACATAAAAAAAATCATACATGCTAATGTATTTGTTATTTAAGAGTTCGTTAAGAATTTGCAATTCAATAATCTTAAACTTAATCAAATATTTTTCGCGTTAATTAAGCGTAAAGAGCGGCGTAATCTTAATTATTTATGTTTCCGAGAGCACCTGAATTTCTAGTGCCTACAAATTTAATCAGCCCGCGGCGATTATGTAAATGCGTCGTAAATGTACAGATTTATCCCCATTCAAATTAAGCTTAGCTTGTCTGTTGCGTATACCTACTGTTGTATTGTTATATAAATAACGCTGATAATGTACGCTAATAACATTCACATTATATACCATAATTTAGAGTTGTTATTATAATAATATTATTTTTAACATTACAGCAATTCATAGCTTTCATGTACTGTTCATGTACAAACCCGCTATTTAAAGATCATTGGGAAAAATAAAATAATAGTGGTTTAATAATATTCTTCCAATATATTGGAAGAATAAATTACATAAATTATAAGCTACCCACCCCGGTTTCTCACGAGTGTATATATATTATTATACATATAAACCTTCCTCTTGAATCACTCTATCTATTACAAAAAAACCCTTCAAAATCTGTTACATAGTTTTGAAGATTTAAGCATATATAGGACGGATAGACAGCGACAGTAACTTTGTATTATACTATGTAGTAATTAGGTTACACTGTCAAATATGTTGCATATTTGACAGTGTAAACTAATGTAATACAATTTTATTTTTGTCAATAACATTTCAATTACCATCCTGCCTGTGTTAATGGTGTATACCACTGGCAGGGAACCAGTTAAGGATGGAAGTATGATCAAATTATCATTCAGACTACTATGTTGTTGTTATTGATGTAAAGCACTAGGCTCGTTTACCATATAGATTGAAGCCGCTTCAAAGAGTTTCATCATTTTATCCTTTTCTTTGAGTTTACTATCATTATTTCCAATCGATTATATTGATGTAAGGAAACTGTTACGATTGAGTTTGGTTTTTGTAGAGCATGAAATTGCCAGTTAAATTTTAATTTTAGACTTATATATTAAATTAAAGAATAGAAATTGTTGTTCACACTTTATCATGTACTGCGTCACATTGTCAAACTTGTTCAAACGAATTTTTAGATATGTTGTTTGCAAAAATACTAGAATTACTACCTAGTATTGGCACGAACCTGTTCCAAAACACGTCTCCGTAACCGTTATTACTCACAAACAAACAGAAAGTTGGATGTCCAAATCAACCAAAAATGGTCAAGGGTGGTGACCGCATATCCCTGGCAGGCTTCCTCAAGAATAATTGGAATGTCTTGAGATGCGGTTGAACCGAGCAGATACTAATTGTGTTTGGCTGTACTTGAAGGACCTTTAGACGGTCTCTACTCAGGATTTGTGGCTGAAAATATTTATCTAGGAATTTAATTTAAGTAATTTTATTCCCAATTTTAGATACGTATATAGCACGTACCATATTACATTTATATTTCAAATCACGTGTTATTTACTAAATATAATTATTATTATGAATATTGGTCATGTTTTTGCAATTTTTACATTATTGCAATGCCAATTAATGATATTAATATATAAACCTGTAAAAAAATGTTTAAAGTACGATAGAATTGAACCCGCGACCATCAGAAGAAAGGCGTGTACTATACCGCAATACCACCGAGGCCGTCAATACCATTTATCATATAGATTTAGTAAATTTTGAAAAGAAAAAGTATATCGAGAGCATTGGCGAGACATTTGGAAAACTCTCGCAATAATTTTGAAATATTCACTCAAAATAGTATGACATTTGTCATCCGAACCGAGAATGAGGGTTCACAACGACACGAACTGGGAATTGTAATTTCTCCCGAATGATATGTATTTAATTGTTTATTGTTACTGTTACAACAGATACGAATATTTTTTCTAATAATTTATTTGACAATAGATTACATTATGTGCCTATAATAGTGTATATAATACGATATATATCTATATATTATATGCGATGTTAAAATATCTTCATTTTATTTTCAACAAACCAGAATAAGAATTCGTACTTATATTTTATTTGAATTCGATATCCACACTATTAAGGAATATTGAAGGAATAAGGTAATCAGGTATGGAGTAAGAAAGAATATTTACTCCTCTGTACCCCCTGGTCTGCAACTGTAATTCCAAGCGGTTCCTTCATG